GACTCCTTGCAGTTCTAACGTTCTGAGGGTTCAGCAGCCTCGGCAGTAACCAAGGAGACAGATTAACTGTTTTGTTTATTTATTTTTTTTGTGAGGAAGATCAGCCCTGAGCTAACATCCATGCCAATCCTCCTCTTTTTGCTGAGGAGACTGGCCCTGGGCTAATATCTGTGCCCATCTTCCTCCACTTTATATGGGACGCCGCCACAGCATAGCCTGACAAGCGGTGCATCAGTGCAAGCCCGGGATCCGAACCCGGGCCGCCAGCAGCGGAGTGCACACACTTAACCGCTACGCCAGGGGTCCAGCCCCCAGGTTAGTTGTTACAGTCAGACACAAGAATATAGAAAAGCACAACAGTCTGGGGCCATTTGGTAAAGTACATTTGATGACCTCAAGCCACCAAGAAAAATTTAAAGTAGGTTAAACTAATTAAATTTTTTTGAAGAAATAACTAATGCATTTTATTTTATTTTATTTATTTATTTTTTGTGAGGAAGATCAGCCCTGAGCTAACATCTGTGTGAATCCTCCTCTTTTTGCCGAGGAAGACTGGCTCTGAGCTAACATCTATTGCCAATCCTCTTCCTTTTTTTTTTTCCCCAAAGCCCCAATAGATAGTTGTCTGTCATAGCTGCACATCCTTCTAGTTGCTGTATGTGGGACGCGGCCTCAGCGTGGCCGGAGAAGCGGTGCGTTGGTGCGCGCCGGGGTGCCAGTAGCGGAGCGCACGCACTTAACTGCTAAGCCACGGGGCTGGCCCTGACTAATGCATTTTAGAAAAGTTTCATCCAAAATGATAAAGATAAAATTTTAAGTTTTAAGGTTAACCTATATGGAAAACTCAGTTATCTAGAATGGTATTTCTAGATAGCCATAGAGTAGGTGAGCAGGCAGGAGTAAAACCAGTCCTTACTAGCTTTAAGTGGATGTTGTGATGCAGATCAGCTCTGCTCTCTTCATTCACTGCTGCCTAAGAAGTGCCTTTACCTGCTCACTCCATGGTTTCAGCTGGGGACACGGAAGGTGCTTGTTGATTCAGCACACAGTTTTAGAGCATCTGCTGTGTAACTGGGACCGTGCCAGGCCCTGGGAATACAGTGGTGTGTGGAAGGTACAGTGTCACCCTTAAATTGTTCATGGTTAATCGGGGAGAGAGACACGTAAACAAGTGTTTAGAATCAAACTCAGCATAGGCTGCTGTAGAATTACACAGCAGGAGCATATAACCTTATTTGTGAGGGAGGGGATGATGGGACGGCCATGGGGCTTTCTAGGGGGAATGATGCTCAGGCTGCAATCTTATGCAGGGAAGAGTATTCCAAGCAGAAGGAATAGCGTGTGTAAAAGTCCAGAGGCCAAAGAGTAATGTGTAATTGTGAAATTTGCAAATACACTACAATCTGATTTGGCCTTTATATAGAATGTGAGCCAAGGCATAGAGAGAGGGGTCATGCTGGCAGGGGAGAGAAGGGGAGCAGCACAGATCAGGCAGGGTCTTGTGTACCATGTGAGAAAATTTGGACTTTATCCTGAGGGACAACCAGCGAGCTTTGATGGTTTTAGGCAAGGCCCCTGCGTACCTCTCTAGCTCCTGCTGCTTTTCTCTCTCTCTGTCACTGGTTATGCTCATTTCTTTTTCTTCCTGCAAAGGCCAAGGTCATTCTTGCCTTAGGCCTTTGCACTTGCTATTCCTTCTGCCTGGAGTGTACTGGTTGCAGTGTACTAACTAGATTAGAGTAGGGTGAGCCTAGAAACAGGAAGATGGAATAGGAGGCCAATCCAGTGGTCTTAGTGAGGGGAGATGATGGCCTGAACTGGGGAAGTGGCAGCTTGGATAGAGAGACGTGGACAGATGTCTGCAATATTTTAGGAGTTAGAATTGACACTGTCTGGCAAGTGATTGACTTGGGCAGCAGGGTTGATACTTCAGGCCACTGACGTTCAAATGGTTGGAGCAACAGCATGGTGTGTTCTGATGTCCGGTGATCTACCCCATGGTGTGTTTTGGGACCTCACTGCCCCACTGGAATGTGAGCTGCCTGGATTTGCTCACTGAATTGTGAATAGAGCTTATAGGTTCCAGCAGCATTAATGCAACCCCTGGCCTTGTTTATGTCTAATCTTAACTTTTATGTTATGTGCCTTGGGCTCTCTATAAACTAATACATAATAACATGCTTACTTGTGAGCATAATGGAATAAATGAGACAAAAATCACAGTAAATGACCAAGATGATCATGATCAAGTAGTTCTTATTAAAAACCATTAAATGTATGGCTCAGGTTTCCATATGCAAGGTCCCTTTAACAAACTCGGCTTATGTGGTATCCCCACCCCTCTACCACCACCCCCCCACCCCTGCCAGAGTGCTTAACTCACTGCATTTGTTTAAACTCGAAAACCCAGACATTCCCAAGGCAGACTTCCACTGAACACTGGACTCCTACTGCCTAGAGCTTTTATGTTTACATTTGCTGCTATAGAGATTTGGTTTGTTTCCGAAAGATGCATTTTAACATTTGTGTGGTGAGCCATGTTTGTTATATTTGAACCATGTGTGACGCAAGGGAGAAGGGTAACCACTTGGCTTAGAGGGGAAAGTGTGACTGTTTGGGTTAGCAGAGGTACTTCCTGCCAATTTAAAATGAGCTGGTTAGATGTGGATGGTGGCAGAAATTAAAAAGTGTGTGTGTATACATACATACATACACATGTGTATATTTTTATATGCCAAAAGACTAATGTGGATATAAAGCTTATCTGGACCATGCTGTTTTCCAGTCTTGAAGGAAAAATGCTTTCTAAGAGTCTATGTGACTCACTTTGGAAGTGGATAATGTATAACTCTTAACAGACCTAGAAGTGCTCCTAGGACCAGGCCCCATTCATGTCTTGTTATATCTTCAATTATATAAACTATGAGCAGCCAAACAGAGAAAGTAGGAAAAGAACTTCACCTGATAGCAAAATGATTCATAAATTAATAACACAGATGGAAAACTAAGGTCTAGAGAGGTTGATTTGTCCACAGCCCACAATAAATTCATTTCTTCATTCAATAAACATATATTTAGTATCTATTATATAGGTGTATTAGTCATCTATTGTTGTGTAACAAATTACCCTAAAACTTAGTGATTTAAAACAACACACATTTAGGGCCGGCCCTGTGGCGTAGCGGTTAAGTGCGCATGCTTTGCTGCTGGTGGCCCAGGTTCGGATCCCAGGCGCACACCGACACACCGCTTGTCAAGCCATGCTGTGGCGGCGTCCCATATAAGGTGGAGGAAGATGGGCACGGATGTTAGCTCAGGGCCAGTCTTCCTCAGCAAAAAGAGGAGGATTGGCATGGATGTTAGCTCAGGGCTGATCTTCATTCATTCATTCATTCATTCATACATACATACATACATACATACATAGTAAGTAAATACATACATACATACATACATCACACATTTATTGTCTCATGCTTTCAGTAGGTCAGAAAATCTGGACATGGCTTCACTGGGTTCTCTGCTTCAGGGTATCTCATGAGGCTGCAGTCAAGGTGCCTGCCAGGGCTGGAGTCTCATCTGAAGGCTCTACTGGGGAAGGATCTACTTCAAGCCCACATAGTTTTGGTAGGATTTAGTCTTTGCAGAAACTGAAAGTCTTGGTGTCTTGCTGGCTGTTGGCAGAAGGCCACCCTCATTTGCTTGCTACATGGCCTTTCTGACAGGGCATATTGCTTCATCAAAGTATATAAGCCAAGAAGGCAATAGAGAGAGTCTACTAGCAAGACAGAATTAGTCTCTTCTAACCTAATCACAGAAGTAGCATCCCATCAACTTTGCTACATTCTGTTGGTCAAAATCTAGTCCAGCCCACGCTCAAGGGAGGGGATTACACAAGAGTGTGAATACCAGGTGGTGAGGATCATTGAGGGCCATCTTTGAAAGCTGTCTCCCACAGTTGGTGCATAAATTCAGATTTCCTTATTCTCAGATACAGCTTTTTCTGCTAGACCAAACCATCTGATTGTGTGGTTATGAAACACTAATATGTTCATTGTGGTAAGCTGAATAATGGCCTCACAAAGATGTCTGTGTTGTAATCCCTGGAATCTTTGAATATGTTACGTTACATGGTATAAGGGACTTTGCAAATGTGATTAAATTAAGGATTTTGAAATGAAGAGATTATCCTGAATTATCCAGGTAGGCCCAATGTAATCACAGAGGTTTGTATAACAGAGAGGCAGGAGGATCAGCGTCAGAGAAGGTGATGTGATGATGGAAGCAGAGGGAGGGAAAGAAATCTGATGACGGAAGCAGAGGCTGAAATGGTGCAGCCACAAGCAGAGGAATAGGGGCAGCTCCTAGGAGATGGAAAAGGCAAGGAACAGATTCTTCCCTTGAGCGTCCAGAAGGAACACAGCTCTGCTGACACCTTGATTTTAGTCTTGGAAGACTCATTTAGTACTTCAGACCTCCTGAACTATAAGATAATGAATTTATACTGTTTTAAGCCACTAGATTTGTGGTAATTTATTTCAGCAGCAATAGGAAACTAATAACATTCACCAAGGGACCTTGGAGAGCTTTTTAAGGAGCAAGAGGAAGGACAAGGGATAGGATGATGGGCTTCTAAGGGCTGTTCCTGCCCTCCAGTGACTCTGAAACATAATTTACGTATTGTAGCTTCTCTATTTTTGGGAAATTGTTCCTAGTTCTCTTCAATACTAAATTCTATCAATATCGAACAGGTAAAATATTTCTTAGGGTTAGTTAAATGTGGACCTGGGCCTCACATACTCTTCAAAATAAAACAAAAACATAGCATTTAGCTGAGGACGCTAAGGCTTCCATTTTTAAAGCTTATTGCTTGTTATTTATTTGTACCTTAGGAGTGGAAATATTGGCTGAGATGAAAGTACCTGGCACAAATTGCTTTTCCTTTTTGGTGTTTCACAGCCAGGTGTTGTGAAATTCTTTTGTTTTTCTTTTTTCTCCAGTGCCTGGAAACCTTGGCTGCTACAAGGATCATGGAAACCCACCTCCTCTAACTGGTGCCAGTAAAACGTCTAACAAACTTACCATACAAACCTGCATCAGTTTTTGTCGGAGTCAGAGGTTCAAGGTAATAGTTCTGTGGCTGTATATCTGCAGAAAAAGATAAAGATGTACATGCATTCTGCTGAGATAACTTAAAAATATATATACATTTTTTTTAAAACAACCTGTAAAGCCATTCAACTCTACTTGTCTGCCAAGGAGAAGTTGGAAGAAGAGTGGGGCTTGGGATTCAGGAGCATGAGGCAGCAATCTTGTCTAAAGACCAGGAGAAAAGGAGAGGAAAATCCCCAATATCTGCATCCCTATTTGACCTCTGACAGAGTTATGTATTTCCTTGTTCCCTTGTATGTTATGAGCAGGGACATCTCTGACTCCACAGAGGATCTGGGAATAAGCCAAGGTAGTGGTTACTTCCTTGATACATCAAGGGACCCTAGCCTGGACACTAGTCCAAAATATTTACTTTTCTTCCTCTTCATTCCTCTATCTGAAGTACATTCCTTGGCCATTAAGGTTCAGTAATACTATTGTTTGTTATATCAAAAAAAGAAAATTCCTTCCTTCCTTCCTTCCTTCCTTCCTTCCTCCCTTCCTTCCTCCCTCCCTGTCAAAAAGTCATTAATCAGGCCCAAGCAAGGAGAGTAGGCTGGCAGGGTTCAGGGCCTGTGAGAGGCAGGTGGCTTAGCAAGGCGGTTGGCCCAGCATGGTCAAGTGATTGGTTGCTTGCAAAGGGATTGAGCATATAAGTAAATATATTGAGGATAATGGGAGCCAGATTTTTCACTTTGGAGAAGGGAGCTAGGGAAAACTGGAATGAAGCCTATAGTGTTAGACAGTGGTTGAAGTTATTAGTATAGTGCAACCTTGGTTTCTGAACACTGTTCTCCATTAAGAAGAACTGGGGCTCTTTGGAGAAAATTGCTGATTCTAGAGCTGGTTCTGAGAATATGCTAGATGATCCTGAAATTATAAGAAAGTAAGGAGTGATAGGCCCTTGTCAAAAGTACATAGGAACCAGCTTAAAGAGTCTCCACTGGCCAAATCTGACATAGTTGGTGCTTCAAAACAAATAATGACAGTAATAAATACACTCCACTGAATTAAATAAGAATCCTCAAATCCATGCTGATATAAATAAATAAATGAGAAGAAAAGCATTTCCATATAGGAGCATGCCAACTAATAAATGTATAAGAAATGATGGAATTAGAAAATTCACCATTTGGCAACTATCATAGTAATAATTGATTTAAAGAACATATATCAAGGCATGCAAATATCCCATGTCCTCATCTACTGGTAAATGGGTAAAAGTTGCATGAGGAACAGGATATTTATATAGTCTCAAAGATCTCCCCACAAAATACTATAAAGGGAAAACAAGTAATTCTCCGGTGGAGAAAATTGGCATGTACTACCTAACCTGTCAAGAGCATAACATCACTTTGGTGATATTTCTGCCAAAAATGCATAATATGAATCTAATAATGGGGAAATGTAGACAAACCTGAAACGAGGGACGTTCTACAAAATGACTGGCCTTTATTCTTCAAAAATGTTAAGGTCACAGGGGTCAAGGAAGGACCAATGAAGTATTCCGGATTAAAGGAGACTGAAGAGACCTGACAACTAAGTACATCTGTGATCCTAGATTGGATCCTTTTCTACAAAGGATGTGATTCAGGCAGTTGCCAACTTGAATGGGGGTCTCTAGGTGAAAGGGATAGGGGCAGTTCTTTGTATTGTTCTTGTACTTTTTCTGTTCTGGATTTGAAATTACTTCAAAATAAAAATATAGCAAAAGCATTTGAGAAAATACAGCACCTATCAATGATAAAAGTCATTAGCAAACTAGGAATAGAAGGGAACTACCTCAACCTGATTAAGAGCACCTACGAAAAACCCTAAAGCTAACATCATATTCAATGGCAAAAGGTTGAGTGCTTTCTACCTAAGATCAGGAACAATGATGCCTACTCTCACCTCTTCTATTCAACATTGCACTGGAGGTCCTTGCAAGTGAAATAAGGGAAAAAAAAGAAAAGGCATGTAGGTTGGAAAGGAAGAAGTAAAATTTTCTTTATTTATGGACAACGTGATCATATATATAGACAATTCTAAGGAGTCTATAAATTAGCTTCTAGAACTAATAAGTGAATTTAGTGAAGTTGCAGGTTATAAGGTCATATACAAAAATCAGTTGCATTTCCATATACTAGCAGTGAACAATTAGAAAATAAAAATTTTAAATTCCGTTTATAGTAGCATGAATAATGATAAATTTAACAAAAGATATTAAAGACTACATAACATTGCAAGGGAAAATTAAAGACCTAAATAAATGGAGATAGAGACATTGTTCATGGATTGGAAGACTCAATATTGTTAAAATGTCAATTCTCCCTAAATTGATCTATAGATTCAATGCAATCCCAATCAAAATCATAGCATATTTTTTGAAAAAAATTGACAAGCTGACCCGAGAATTTATATGGAAAGGCAAAGAACCTGGAATAACCAAAATAATTTTGAAAAAGATCAACTTTGGAGTACTTACCCTGCCTGATATCAAGACTTTCTATAAAGCTATAATAATCAAGAGAGTGGTATGTCACATAGATCAGGAGTTAGCAAACAATGGCATGTGGGCCAAATCCTACCACCCACCTGTTTTTGTAAATAAAGTTTTATTGAAACATAGCCACACTCCTTCATTTACATATTGTCTATGGCTGCTTTCATGTTATAACAGCAAAGTTCATTACTTGAGAAGAGACTGTGTGGTCCACAAAGCTGAAAACATTTATTATCTGACCTGTTATAGAAAAAGTTTTCCAACCTCTGCTGTAGATCAACGGAATCAAATAGAGAGTCCAGAAATAGACTTGTACTTATACGAACAATTGATTTTCAACAAAGATGCCAAGGTAATTCAGTGGAACAAAGGATAGTCTTTCAACAAATGGTTCTGGAGAAAAACTGGAGCTCTTTATGAAAAAAAAACAATGAACCTCTATCCTTACATCACACCATAGACAAAAATTAACTTTAAATTTTGCTGCTGAAGAAGGAGCTATGGTACTGGCATAAAGATGGACATATAGAGCAATGGAATAGGATTTAGAGTCTAGAAATAAACCCACACATTTACTTAAGGTCAGTCGATTTTTCATAGGGGTGCCATATTATTCAATGGGGAAAGAATAGTCTTTTCAACAAATGGTGCTGGGACAATTGGATAACCACAGGCAAAAGAATGAATTTGGCCCCCCTGCCTTACACCATATATAAAAATTAATTAAAAGTGGATCAAAGACCTAAATGTAACAGGTAAAACTATAAAACTCTTAGACAGAAGCATAGGTATAAATATGCATGACCTTGGATTAGGCAATGATTTTTTAGTTATGATACCAAAAGCACAAGCAATCAAACTAAAAATGGGTGATTTGGAGTTCACCAAAATTTAAAACTTTTGTATGTCAAGGACACTATTAAGAAATTGAAATAACAACTCACAGAATGAAAGAAAATATTTGCAAATCACGTATCTGAATAAGGATCTAACGTCCAGAATATATAAAGAACTTTAACAACTCAACAATAAAAAGACAAATGACCCAATTGAAAAACTGGCAAAGGATTTGAATAGACATTTCCCCATAGAAGATATATATAAATGGCAATAGCACACAAAAAGGTGCTCAATATCATTAGTCTTTAGGGAAATGCAAATCAAAACCATAATGAGATACCACTTCACACAATAAATAACCTAGGATGGCCGTAGTTTTTTTAAAAACTACCAAGAAAAAAAAAGACAAAAACAAATGTTGGTGAGGATGTGGAGAAATTGGAACCCTCATACATTGCTCTTGGAAATGTAAAATGGTGCAGCTGCTGTGGAAAACAGTTTGGCAGTTCATCAAAACTTTAATCATAGAATTACCTTATGACCCAGCAATTCCACTCCTAGGTACCCAAGACAGTTGAAAACATATGTTCACATAAAACTTGTACATGAATGTTCATAGCAGTGTTATTCATATTAGCCAAAAAGTGGCAACAATATAAATGTCCATCACCTGGTGAATAGATAAACAAAATGTTGTGTATACATACAATGGAATAGTACTCAGACAATAAAAAGAAATTAGGTACTGATGCATGCTACAATATAGATGAACCTTGAAAACATTATGCTGAGTGAAAGAAACCAGACACAAAAGGCCACATGTTGTATGATTCCATTTATATTAAGTGTCCAGAATATTCACATCCTTAGAGTCAGTAGGTTAGTGGTTGCCGGGAGGTGGGAGGAATTAGGACTACTGCTAATTGGTACAGAGTTTCTTTTCTGGGTGATGGAAGTGTTCTGGAATTAGTGGTGATAGTTGTACAACATAGTGAATATACTAACAATCACTGAAACTACACTTTAAAATGGTAAATTTTATGTTATATAAATTACATATCAATTAAAAAAAGCTTAAAACTATTAAACTTCTAAAAAAATACAGCAAATCTTATGACATTGGATTAGACAAGGATTTCTTAAACAGGACACAAAAAAACACAAACCATAAAAGAAAAAGTTGGTAAATTGGACTTAATCAGTATTAAAATCTTATCTTGAAAAACCAGAGTTAAGAAAATAAAAAGACAAGCCACAAACTGGGAGAAAGTAGTTCCCAAATATATATTTGATAAAGGACTTCTATACAGAATATATAAAGAACTCTTACAACTCGATAATGAGGCAACTCAATTTAAAAATGGGCAAAAGATTTGAATAGACATTTCACCAAAGAAGATACATGGATGGCCAAAAGACACATGAAAAGATGTTCAACATCACTAGTTATCAGGGAAATACAAATTAAAACCACAATGAATTACCACTACACATCCCCTAGCATGATGAAATTAAAAAATACAGAAAATGCTAAAAATTGTTAAGAATGTGGAGCAACTGGAACTCTCATAGACTGCTAGTAGGAATGTAAAATGGTGCAGCTTCTTAGAAGAAAGCTCTTGAGGGTTCTTATAAAGGTAAATATACACCTGTCTTTCAACTCAGTAATACCACACCTGGGTATTTACCGAAGAGAATAAAAACCTATGTTCACACAAAGACTTACATGAATGTTCATAGCAGCATTATTCACAATAGCCCCAAACTGTAAATAAGCCAAATGTCCATTACCTGATGAACAGAAAAATAGATTGTGGTATATCCGTACTGTGAAATACTACTCAGCAATAAAAAGAAAAGATATAGTGAGACATACTGATACAAACAACAACACAAATGAATCGCCAAAACATTATGCTAACTGAAAGAAGTTAAACACAAAAGTAGATGCTGAATCCAAAGTGGATCTTAGATCTAACAGTAAAATGTAAAACTATAAAACTTTTAGAAGAAAACAGAGGAGAAAATCTTTATGACCTGAGTTTAGGCAAAAAGGTCTTAGGCATGACACCAAAAGTATGATCCATAAGAGAAAAAATTGGTAAATTTTAATTTGGACTTCACCAAAATTAAAAACTTTTTCTCTACGAAAGACATTTTTAAGAGAATGAAAAGACAAGCTACAGCCCGGGAGAAAAATCACGTCTGCAACAAAGGACTTTGTATCCAGAACGTGTTAAAAAAAAAAAAAAAAAAAAACTCTGAAAACTAAATAGAAAAAAAAAAAAAAAAACCCAATTGAAAAATGGGCAGGGGCTAGCCCAGTGGTGCAGTGGTTAAGTTTGCGCATTCCACTTCAGCGGCCCAGGGTTCACCGGTTCAGGTCCTGGGTGCAAACCTACTCACCACTCATCAAGCCACGCTGAGGCAGCATCCCACATAGAACTAGAAGGACCTATAACTAGGATATACACCTACGTACTGGGGCTTTAGGGAGAGAAAAGAAAAAGAGGAAGATTGGCAGCAGATGTTAGCTCAGGGCCAATCTGCCTCAAAAAAATTTAACAAAAGGATAATTGTTTAAAAAAAAATGGGCAAAAGACTTGAACAGATACTTCACCAAAGAGGATATACAGATGTCAAATAAGCACATGAAAAGGCATTTAATATCATTGGCCATTAGGGTAATGCAAATTAAACCCACAATGAGATACTACTACGTTAGCCTATTAGAATGGCTGAAATAAAATATACTGATAATAACAAGTGTTGCAAGGATATGGAGCAACTGAGACTTATACATTGTTGTTGCAAATGTAAAATGGTACAGTCACTCTGGAAAACAGTTTGGCAATTTCTTATCAAGTGAAACATAAATTTACCATATAATCCAGCAGTCCCATTCCTAGATATTTGCCCTAGAGAAATGAAAACTTATATTCACACAAAAATCTGTACAGAAATGTTTATAGCAGCTGTATTCATAATCATGAAATCTTGAAACAACCCAGTGGATTAACAACTGTGATACATCCGTACAATGGACTACCACTCAGCAATAAAAAGGAGCAAACAATTGATACCCACACCAGTTCAGATGACCCTCAAAGACATTAATGCTGAGTGAAAGAAGCCAGTCTCAAAAGGTTACATACTATATGATTCCACTTATATGATGTCTTAGTCTGTTCTGGCTGCTATAGCAAAATTCCATAGACTGGGTGGCTTAACACACATTCATTTCGCACAGTTCTGGAGGCTGAGAATTCCAAGATCAAGGTGTTTGCAGATTTGGTGTCTGGTGAGGGCTTATTTCCTGATTCATAGACAGACGTCTTCTTGCTGTGTTCCATGCAGTGGAAAGGGGGAGGGGAGCACTCTGGGGTCTCTTTCATAAAGGCACTTCCCATTCATGAGGGCTCCACGCTCATGACCCATTCACCTCCCGAAAGCCCCACCTCCAAATACTATCACGTTGGGAATTAGCTTCCAAAATATGAATTTGCAAGGGACATAGACATTCAGTCTATACCATATGACACTCTTGAAAGACAAAACTTTGGTAATGGAAAGCTAATTGGTGGTTGCCAGGGGTTATAGGAGGGAGAACTATAGAGCGATAGCACAAGGACGGTTGTTGGGGTGATGCACTTGTTCTATATCCTGCCTGTAGTGGTGGTTGCACAAATCTATACGTGGGTTAAAGTTCATAGAGCTATACACCATATAAATAGTTTAACTGTATGGTAATAGAAAAAATAAAATAAAAAATTTAAATGGGGCCTATAATGAGTTTGCTGGGAGGATTAGCTATACAGCACTTACTACCTGGCACATAGTAAACATTCAATAAAATGTTTAGCTGTTGTTATTACTAATATTTCAAGTTAATGAGGTCCCCCCCTACTTTAAACTTACTTAAATACATAGAAATGCAAACATTAAAAAGGGATGGCTCACTGAAGGGGAAACACGGTGGTGGTGCATAGTTACTGGTCAGTGTGTGATGAAGTGTGTGAGAGTGGGACAAGGGAGAGGTCCCAGGGCAAGGTGGGTTGGGAAGATGAGGCTGGTTGCTTGCTGGGGATCGACCCTGCCAGGCTCCTTCAGGTCACCTGACACCCCTGACTGACGCTCACCAAGTGCTGCTTCCTGTTGCGCAGTTTGCCGGAATGGAGTCAGGCTATGCTTGCTTCTGTGGAAACAATCCTGACTACTGGAAGTACGAGGAGGCAGCCAGTACCGAATGCAACAGCGTCTGCTTTGGGGATCACACCCAGCCCTGTGGTGGTGATGGCAGGATCATCCTCTTTGACAGTGAGTATGCCCCGTGCTCATCACTGCCCAAGGCACAGGAACCCTTGGGTCAGGGAAACAAGCCCGCCCACCCTCTCTCCCCTCCATTTATTCATTCATTCACCTGGCAATACTAATTAAGCATCTACTGCAGGCCGGGCCCTGACCAGACCCTGGGGATACAGCACTGAACAAGGAGACTCGGCCTCTGCCCTCTAGAAGGGAGGACAGATAAGTAATTAGTTATAGTTGTGCCATGTGCTTTGAAGAGACGTGGCCTATTGTGGGATGCTTAGACAACCTAGAAAAGGTAACCTTTCCAATTTAATATAGGCACTGATATAACTGTTCAGTATCAGCTTTAAGATCCTCTTGTATTAATGTATTTTCCAAGCCCTTATAGTGTTTTCTTAGGCATTTGGGATTTATATCTTATTGTGATGCAACTGAGAAGACGAGCATAAGTTTTGAGTTGTCTTTCCAGGCCTGGTACTGAATGTGCCCTGACTCCCCTCCTCTCTGACCTGCCGTACTTGTGAGATGCTGGCTAGGGGCAGAGTGTTCTGAATGGGGTATGGATCTAGGGCTTTGACCTCTCCAACACCTTGTTCTAACCTCTAGGCCACCTGATCCCTTATTGTAATCCACTGATATCCACTCAGTGGTGTGAGATTTTGTGAGAGCCATAGTATCAATACAGTGCCAGATTTTAAGATGATAGAAAGGAGATACTCACAATGAGAAGGACAGAAAGAAAGGCTTGAGATTACCAAAATACACTATAGAGTCTGTAGCATCTTTTTTAGTCATTAAGCTAGAGTAGATACACTCTTGACATTTCAACTAGGCAGAGTAGCTCAGTTTTAAGCAAAAATCACATATGGTGTATTAGTTTCCTAGGGCTGCCAAAACAAATTATCACAAACTGGATGGCTTAAAACAAAAGAAATTTATTCTCTCATAGTTTGGGAGGCTAGAAGTCCAAAATCACAGTGTCATAGGGCGATGCTCCCTCTGAAGCCTCCAGGGAAAAATTCTTTGCCTCTTCCAGCTTCTGGTCATTGCTGGCAGTTGGCATTCCTTGGCTCGTAGCTGCATCACTTCCATCTCTTCCTCCTTCTTCACGTGGCTGTCTTCCCTCTGTGTGTGTCTGTGCCTCTGTGTCTCTCCGTATCTCCTTTTGAGGACACTAGTCATTGGATTTAGGGCCCATCCTAATCTGGTAAGGCCTCATTTAACTTGATTACATCTGTAAAGATCCTATTTCCTAATAAGGTCACATTCACAGATACCAGGCATTAGGACTTGAACATTATCTTTTTGGAGGACACAATTCAACCACTACATATGGTCACTGTACGTCCCAGCCCAAGTTTATAACTGAGCCTTTCATAGGTTATAGCTTAGACATTGTCTAAAGTATGTGTGTTTGAGGAGGAGGACATGGGAAGGATTGGCAAGCAGAACTCATGTGGTTAATTGTTGGTCTTTTTAGTTAAATGTGCCAATTGGAGACTGCCGCTGGCTTCCTATGCATCTTGTTATGTCAGACAAATGCTTAGTTTTAGTACCTCTGTTAAAGCTAAAGATTGAACATTGGCTAATGTTTAAGGAAGAATAGTTGGCAAATAATATGCACTACACATCTATTTAACTTTTCATTTCCAGAGTTCATTATTATAAAATCCTCTGCCTTGACACCTTAACCCAGGAGAATATGTTTGCTGAGCTTACAAATTGACTGGTATACTCTTAAGTGAAAAAAGAGAGGAAGTAAACATTTATTGAGTACCTAGTTTGTATTAAGGCTTTATATGAATTATCACATTAGGTCCTCCCAGCAGCCATCTGATGAAGGCGTTATTATTATCACTCTCATTTTACAGAAGTGTGTCCTAGGGGACTAGGTAGTAAACAGAAGCAGGATGTGTAGGTTTGCTACCTGTTTTTCTACTTTAAACAGAATATACATAGCGTTAATTTTTTAAAATGGAAAATAAGTGTTGGTGAGGATATGAAGAAACTGGAACCCTCATCATTACTGGTGGAAATGTTCAATGGTGCCGCTGCTTTGGAAAACAGTCTGGCAGTCCCTCAAAACATGAAACAATTACCTTATGACCCAGTAATTCCACTGCTAAGTATATACCTGAGAGAACTGAAAACATATGTTTACACAAAGACTTGTACACGAATGTTCATAGCTTGAATGTTCATAGCAGCATTATTCATAATAGCGAAAAAGTGGCAACAACCCCAATGTCCAACAACTGATGCATGGTTCAACAAAATGTGGTATACCCATACAAGGGAATATTATTTAGCCACAAAAAGAAATGAAATGCTGATACATGCTACAACATGATGAACCTTGAAAACGTTATGCTCAGTTAAAGAAATCAGACACATCAGGCCATGTATTTTATTATTCCATTTATAGGAAATGTCCAGAATAGGCAAATCTATACAGACATAAAACAGATTAATGGTTGCCAAGGGCTGGGGAGAGGGAAGGAATGGGAAGTGACTGCTTAATGGATATGGATTTTCTTTTTTGGGTAATGAAAATTTCCTGGAATTAGATAATAGTGTTGGTTGCACAACATTGTGAATATACTAATACCACTGAATTGTACCCATTAAAATGGTGAATTTTGTGTCAATAAAAAAGAGAATATAGTTTTTATATGATAATATTTCATTTAGCACATTTTTATTGGGTATCTGCTATGTGGCAGATATAATTATGTTTTATTTAGTACAGTGCCTCTACTGGAGGTATCAAATGGAAATAATTTGGTTTAAAGTCAGTCAAGTACCAAGTATCATCTTTGGTAGTAGAAACATATCTAGGAGATAGTACTGGGCCTGATACAAAGATGCATTAAAACAAATTAATTATAATAAAAATAATTGCTGTCTATTGAGTGCTTGCTGTGTGCCAAACTTGATGCTGGGTGCTTTTGTTTATTTTATGTTATTTAATCCTTGCAACAGCCCTGTTGATAAGAAAACTGTGGATCAAAAGATAAAATAATTTGTCCAAGCTAATGAGTGCCAAAGCCAGGATTCAAACCCAGGTTTGTCACGTTTTTTATTCTATTTTCAGCAGCAGAATCCCTTTTATTAACAATAATAAAATAGATCGTAATAACAGATCCAGTTTAATGCTTTAAAAGTATGTGAACCAGGTTTGCCCAGTTGTTCTGATTATTTTCAAACAGGCCCCTTCTGCAGGTCTCCAGAAGCTGCCCTCTTAGGTTTCCATTCACTCAAGGACTAAGAAGGTTGGCATTCTGGGAGGCTGCATGCTCTAGTCTCCAGAGGCGCTGATGTATGTTGACTGGCAGGGGCCCCAGACAGTAACCAACTCTAATAACTCCCACCCCTCTGCAAAGAAAGGTACAAAATGCAGCACTGCAGAAATAACCCCTAAAGTTTCATCTACTAGAGAGTAAAATAGTTTAAATAGCTCGAGGACTGCTTCATAGAAATCCTTATGATCCATTGGATAAGGCTGAGCATTTTGGAGATGGTGACTACAGACTGTCCTATAATTTGAGAAGGCAAAGAAGTCTCTCTAAAGAGCTTGGAGAAGTTAGGTGGTAAGAAAGGGACCAGATTACAGTCTCTGTGTCCCAGAACATCAGGCTCTGCTACCAGTGTGGCTCGAACCTGAGTCTCAATCAGAATATCAGTGAGGTCCTCTTGTTCTTCACTCATTACAGAAGAGCATTCTAGGCTCCTCTGCTCTAGAGGCACTTAGGCTGCATTTGCACCTCTGGAGAGAGACTACAGAGGCAACTGGCGGAAGCTGTCTGCTCAGTTATCATTGCCACATCAAGTCATTTGTCAGAGGCTCAATGGCTGATTTTCCAGCAAGCTCTCAGGAGCTTAGGGAGGTTGCTAAAGTACGCTGCATACTTTGTGTAAATGCTGCACTGATGGAGGCTTCAGAGCATCTGCTACCCTTGGAATTTAATTTATTAAATTAACAGAACCAAATAGAGGATCAGGCAGGCTGAGTCAATAGTGGGTTACGGGGACTGCCCAGGCGGCCTCTTGGGCCTCCCTCAGCTTCTAGGCAGTGAAAGGAGAAGTGAGTCATATGGATTGTGCCTTGCTTTGTAACATTAGTTGAACACTTACATTTACAGGGCACTGCGCCATTCACTTTCCATGCATTCTCTCCCTTAATTCTCATAATACTGTGAAGCAAGTATTACTATCCTTATTTGCCTGAGGAGAAAACTGAGGCTCATAAAATTCAGTTACTTGCCTGAGGTCCCACAGATAGAGGTCCTGCCCTCGTTGAACTTATATTTTAGTGGGAAGGGAAGAGATTAATGGTGAAAAATATTGAGGGCCTAAGGACAAGTAGGATCTGACCACTGGGACTGCATTAGTAATTGTGTTTCATAGGCTCCAAGATGTCATCACTTGTGAGATGCAACATTATTTTACATACCACTGAGAAAAAAAATGCTTCCAATTAAACAATGATATGGATTGATTGAAAGACACATCCCAGGTTTAAAGATTAAAATGTGTCCCTTAGAATTGATGAAATATAGTAATACTCTTCTACTTTCTGGGGTGCCAGTTCAGTGGAGTCTGATTTATGGCTGGGACCCATTTGGTTAAGGTTTGATTCCCGGGACATCTCCATTATCGTTCATGTCTAGAAGCAGAGCACTCAGCTGCATCTGGGGGAAGCTAGTGGTTCCAGCTGATGCCTGAAGCTTATTCCTGAAGAAACTGACTGAGCTAATATTGAGGTGGACTGGAGGCTTGGAAAGGTGTTAAGTCACAGAAGGCAGAGGACACTGGCTTTTTGCCACAGGAGGTTTTGCCCAGGTGTATTCCACGCCCTCCACCTGCCCGAGTTGTGTGTGTCAGGCTGATCTCCCCTTCAAAAAATAAGATCTTAAATATATTCCTAAGTTTCAAGTTTCCTATTGAATTGTCACTGAATTTTACGAATCCATCATAGATGTCATGTGTTTGCTCTCAAAACTGCTGAATTGGATGTGCTGTCTGCATGGCACAAATCTGGGAATTGAAAGTTCTAAGTTTAAGGTCTGCCCTTGCTGTTGAAATATCAGTTTAACCTGGATCCTTTATTCTTTACAAATAATAATAATAGTGTAGCTAACACTTACTGAGCTTGTACCATGTGCCAGATCCTATACTAATCACATTACATATATCAACTCATTTTAATTCTTATAAAACCCCAAGAGGGAGAAACTGTTATTATTTTCATTTTATAGATGAGAAAGCTGATGTATACAGAGGTTTAGTATATTGCTCAAATTCGTAGTTAGTACATGGTAAAGTTGGGAGTAGAACCTAGGAAGTCTTTCTCTAAAGTTTCCATTTTTTTTAAATTTAGGTTTATCGAGGTATAATTTATATACAGTAAAAATCACCCTTTTAGTTGTACAATTCGATAAGATTTAACAAATGTATACCAGTCAAGATATAGAACATTTTCATCACCTCAAAAAGTTCTCTTGTGCCCATTTTTGGTCAGTTCTCTCCCCCAGCCCTCAGCAACCACTGAGCTGTATTCCGTCTGTACGGTTTTGTCTTTTGAAGACTGTCATATAAATGAAGTCATGCAGTATTTAACCATTTGTGTCTAGCTTCCTTCATTTAGAATAATGCTTTTGAGATCCACCTATGTTGTTTCAGTAGTTCCTTGTATTGCTCAGAAGTCTGCCTTTGTACAAAGGTATCACAATTTGTCATCTGTTCACCAGTTGATAAACCTTGGTCTGTCTATGATAAAGGTGCTACAAAGCTGCTATAAACATACATGTGCAGGTGTTTGTGTGGACATGTGTTTTCATTGCTCTTGGGTAAATACCTAGGAGTCCCAGGATCTCTGGGTCATATGCTAAGTGTATATTTAGCATTATAAGACACTGCCAACTGTTTTCCAAAGTGGCTATACCATTTTGCATTCTGACCGACAACATGTGAGACTTCCAGCTGCTCTGCATCCTCTCCTGCACTTTTGTATTGTCTGTTTTTTTAACAGTTAGCCATTCTAGCAGGCATATAGTGGTAACTCACTGTGGTTTTAATTTGCATTTCCATGAACATCTTGTCATGTTCTTATTTGCCATCTGGTATCATATTCTTTTGGCCTAAAGAAGTTCCTTTAGCATTTTATCTAATGCAGGTCTGCTGTCAATGGCTTCTCTCAGCTTTTGTTTGAGAAATCTTTATTTCACCTTCATTTTTAAAAAATATTTTTGCTAGACATTGAATTCTATGCTGACAGTTTTTTTTCTTTCAGTACTTCAAAAATGTTGCTCCTTTGTCTTGTGGCTTGCATAGTTTCTAGTGATGTCTGCTGAATCTTTGTTACCCTGTATGTAATCTTTTTCCCTTCTTCTGCCTGTTTTCAGAATTTTATCTTTTGGGGCCAGCCTGGTGGCATAGCAGTTAAGTTCACGCGTTCCACTTTGGTGGCCTGGGGTTTCAGGTTTGAATCCTGGGTGTGGACCTACTCACTTCTCATCAAGCAGTGCTGAGGCGGCGTCCCACACAGAAGAGCTACAACTCTACAGCTATGATACACAACTATGTACTGGGGCTTTGGGGAGAAAAAAGAAAAAAAGATTGGCAACAGATGTTAGCTTAGGGCCAGTCTTCCTTAAAAAAAGAAGAATTTTATCATTTGACTGTAATGTGTCTGGGTGTGTTTTCTTTGTTTTTGTTTTTTAATTTATTTGCTTGGAGTTTGCTGAGATTCTTAGATTACCTTTCATTGACTTTGGAGCATTCTTAGCCATTATCTCTTCAAATGTTTCTTCTGCCCCGTTCTCTATTTCTTCTCTTTCTGGGACAGCAATTATGTATTGTTAGACCGTTTGATATTGTCCCCCAGCTATTGGATGCTCTATTCTTCTTTTTTCACTTATTTTTTTCTCTTTTTTGTTTTGGATAATTTCTATTGACCTATCTTCAAATGTATTGATTCTTTCCTCAGCTGTGTGTAGTCTGTTTATAAGCTCATCAAAGGAATTCTTCATCTTTGATACTGTTTATTTCTGTCATTTCCATTTGACTCTTTTTTATAGTTTCCGTATCTCTGCTGAAATTTCCAATCTGTTCAAGCATGTTGTCCATCTTTTCCACTAGGTACTTTACTGTATTAATCACGTAGTCTCTGTTGGATAATTCTAACATCTGGGTCATTACTGAGTCTGGCTCTGTGGATTGTTTTCTCTCTCCTTTTTTTAAATTGAGATATAATTGACATATAATAGTGTATTAGTTTTAGATGTACAACATAATGACTTGATATATGTATATATTGTGAAATGATTACCAGGTGCTTTATCTCTTGACAAAGTTTTTTTCTTTCTTGCTTACCTTCTTGCTTTTATGTGTGTGTTGTAATATTTTATTGCAAGTCCTACACTATGTGTGGAAGAACAGTAGAGGCTGAGGGAAATAGTATTTATACCTGGAAATAGGCAGGCCACTTCACGTGGGGATTGAGACATTCCGTCAATAATTGAGCTAGGTTTGGGTTTCCTCATTTCTATCATGACCCTCGGTGCACGTCAGGCTTCAGACTCCTCCAGCGATGGGCTACTTACCTTGTACTTAGTGTGGAGCCCGGGATGCCAGTAGGTTTTTTCCAGTGTTCTTGTTCCACCTTCAGCTTTGAGCAGTTCCTACATGCCTGTGGCACAGAGGGGTTCTTTCTCCTCCCTCAACGGTAGATTGCTGTTGCTTGTTGCTTGGTACTGTGCTCATAGTGAGGTCAAGTGTGTGTGTAGGGGGATGGTTCTTGGTTCTCCCGCACCATCCTCAGTCCTAGGACATGTCACTGGGCCTCAGGGGTGGGGCCTTTTCTGCATCCCTGCACGCCTCACCTCTCCCTGGCAGCCAAGCATTGCCTTTTGTATCTGTGGTGGCTCTCTGGAAGGAGAGAGTTCCTGCCCCTCCCTTAGGGGTAGCAGACCTCTGCTTTGCATTGGTGCCAGATCCTGGGGTTCAAGGCAACCATGGGCTCATGGCCTTTGCCTCTGCTCTTCCCTCAGAAGCAGTGGATCTGTGGCAGGAATGAGTGTTTCCTACTCCCTCCCCAGGGTCAAACAGGTTTTGCTTCTACCCTGCTCTGGGAGCAAGAGGGTTTCCTGCCCCTCCCCCAGCAGCTTAAGTCTTTTGCTTCCTTTGAGAGGAGGGTCTGGGAAGCAGGCAGGGTTTCACACCTGTCCCCCAGCAGCAGCTGATCGCCTTCTGTTACATCAGTGCCACCAAGGGGGACTCTGGTCTCCTGCCCTACCCCAGTCGTTCTCGTGGGCATTGGGTGGAGGCCTGCACAGAACTGCTTGCAAGAGATTGCAGACTCCTGTTGTGTCTGGGCGCCTGGTTGTCGTAGTGAGAGGCTAGCCACACCACCCCCCAGCCTTCTAGCTGCTTTCTTCTTACTTGCTTTTATGGTGGCCACCTCTTCCTCTCAAGCTCTGTCAAAGATGAAACACTTTGTGTGGCCTGACTCTCCTTGGATGGGGCGTCTTACTTTTTAGAATTAAATTCCTTATGTTGTCTTGATCCCTCAGCTTTCTGATGGGTTAAAGAAAAGTTTTCAGCTTTTTCTTGTTGTTCAGATGGAAGCACCATTCTGTTATTGCTTTCTACATCCTAAAGGGAAATGGAACTCTCCCAAAGCCTGCTTTTTAATCCCAGCCCTACACTCCCTCTTAAGGACTTTCATTTCCAGGATCCTGTTTACACTTCACCACATAAGATATGGTGAAGTGGGCCCGGCCCTGTGGCCAAGTGGTTAAAGTTCCACGTGCTCCACTTTGGCAGTGGCCTGGGTTCACGGGTTTGGATCCTGAACGTGGACCTACTCCACTCACCAGCCAGGCTGTGGTGGTGTCCCACATACAAAAAAATAGAGGAAGATTGGCACAAATGTTAGCTCAGGGCTAATCTTCCTCAAGCAAAGAAAAAAAGGAGGATTGGCAATGGATGTGAGCTCAGGGTGAATCTTCCTCAGCAAAAAAAATAAAAATAAAAAATAAAGATACAGTGAAGTGATTGTATCCCCTTCCCAGAGCCTGCCAATCAAAAACAGGAATCCAGAGAAATCAAATGTGCTTAGTACAGAGTGATCAGCCTCTAGTGAGTTTCCTCTGTGCAGAAAATAATTTCTTGTGCCACAGTTTCCTTGAAAAATCAGTGTGGACCTTATGTGAGCTTTGCACCCCTCAGGTATCGGAGATGCCCGCACAGCTGTAAAGCCCCTCTCTTTTTACGACTTTACCTCATTGAGTGCCTCCCCTTCAAGGAGGTGCCAGTGTTCTCATGTTTTTTATCTCATTTGTTCTCACACATTCACGTGATACAGGAGCAGGTGGTGTCTCTCCATCCTCAAAACTGAGGGAAGGGAGAGGCCTGGAAATGAAGAGCAGCCCCTGGATCATATGGCCCAGCTGGTGCCAAACCCAGACTCTCTGACTCCAGCCTGGCCCCCACCCAGGCCACACCCCTGTGCCGTGTGCTAATTCTAAGGTCTCCTGGGCAAAAAAAATAAAGCCTCCACAGTCATTTGTTCAGGCTTTAAGAGATTCATTTTGTGATTTGATCCTGAAACATAAGACGGTTGGTTTTGTAGACAAAAAACAATATCCCAAACTGGATGACATTAGTTAGGAAGAGTTTTGTTTGTAACAAGTTGGAAAGTGAGCCCTGTGGCTGAGCCCCAGGCTGAGGGCCGGTGTCCTTTTGTCTTCCACAGCTCTCGTTGGCGCCTGCGGTGGGAATTACTCAGCCATGACTTCAGTGGTCTATTCCCCTGACTTTCCTGACACCTACGCCACAGGAAGGGTCTGCTACTGGACCATTCGGGTTCCAGGAGCCTCCCACATCCATTTCCACTTCACCTTATTTGACATCAGGGATTCCGCTGACATGGTGGAGCTGCTGGACGGCTACACCCACCGTGTCCTAGTCCGTTTCAATGGAAGGAGCCGCCCACCTTCGTCCTTTAACGTCTCTCTGGATTTTGTCATTTTGTATTTCTTCTCTGATCGCATCAATCAGGCCCAGGGATTTGCTGTCTTATACCAAGGTAAGACTTCGTGGCCTCCTGGAGGCCCTCAGGGCCTGTGCAGCCCGGCTCCTCCTGCCCGCTGTTGTGCCCTGCGGACCTGGGGCTTCTTGCCTGGAGGGCTGTGAGTCAGGAGCTGCTGGCTCAACTTGAGGATTTTTCCACTTCCTATTTCATAACTTGTATATGTTTCATGATGTAGAAAAGAGATGAAACCTATCAATTTTGCTATTATAGTAGTTCTAACGACAGTTTTCATGGTAGGGTTAAAAGAACAACTAAAAGAAAGAGCTGAGATTGGGAGAGTCAGAAGGCTTTAAAGAGGTCATTTGGTCCATCTTCCTGCCTCTAAACATCCCAGCCAATCCCAAAAGACTGGTTTACCATCTTTCGTCAAACCCTTCTAAGGTGGAGCTGCACTCTCTACTGCTCTAATGTGAACACATGTATTCCAGGCACGTATATTTGCCAGCACACAAGAAACAGCAGATGTCTAAGACCTAGTCTTTGTCCTGGATGTCAAGGGCCTCGAGAACAGTTCAGTCAGTTTGTGCTGCAGGAAGTCAGAGGGAGGAGGCCTTCCCGAAGGTGGGACAGTCTTGAAGAACAGATAAGATCTGGGTCCATAGATAGGAAGGAAGACGGCCTCCTGAGCAGAGGGAGCCGTAGCTGCAAAGGCACAAGGGTAGGAAAACGATAAAGCATGCTCGGGTGTCTGTGAAGGGACCAGTCAAATAATTACAATGATTAGAAGCTGACAGCTCCTTCCTTCTGCCTCCTTCAGGGCCAGAGCCTGACAGGTTCTGCTTTGGGGCCAGTGGGGCAATGGAGAGAATTGCACCCAAATTGAATCAAAGAAAAGGGCCTTTCTACATAACCAGGGCCGCCTCCTCGTGGCTCTTCGTTGTCTCCACCAGCTTTCCGCCAGTTCATTCTTTTTTGATCTTCCAGCCATCAAGGAAGAACCGCCACAGGAGAGGCCCACTGCCAACCAGACACTGGCCGAGGTGATCACGGAGCAGGCCAACCTCAGTGTCAGCGCTGCACGGTCCTCCAAAGTCCTCTACGTCATCACCACCAGCCCCAGCCACCTGCCCCAGACCGTCCCAGGTAGCAGTTCCCAGACGCCATCAAAGGGGATGGGAGCCACAGAGCTTGAAGGCAGCACTCTTGGGAGTTACAGAAACAGAGCGCTCTTGGGTGTTTCTCATTCTGAGGCAGGTTGTGGGTATTGGCTCTGTGACTCTGTCCTGGCCTTTGAGGGACATTTTCTCATTAGCTTGCTCCCTTAGTCCTTAGGAAAAAGTGCTCACTTCCACAGATCCAACATGTGTGCCTTTTGTACGTGTGATTAGTCAGCTAACCCAGTGTTTTCTCACTCAGAGTATCTTTCTAGAGTGCCAAGTTGTGGCTCCCTATTGGCAATTGCAAGAGCTCTCTTTATTCATTTCTTCAAAAGAGATGTAAGTGCTTTAAAGGTGCCAGGCACTGGACTATACAGTGAACCAAACAAAATCCCTGCCCTCCTGTAGCTTATAAATGGGAGGAGAAAGACAAGAAGCAAAATAGATTCAGATAGTGATAAGAGCTGTGAAGAAAAGTCATGCAGGAGAGGGGTAGAGATTGGGTGATGGGCTTGTGGTTTAAGCTGCCTCACTTGGTTGGGTACAGACTTCCATTCTCTCTTTTCTGCCAAGGAAGTTGAGGCCTGTATGAACTGGTAGAGCTGCAGCGTACCATTAGCAATTACCCAACCTAGCAGTTTTCAGACTGCTCCCTGGGTCCCCTGCAGGACCCACTGTAGAAGGTCAGCGGGAAGGGCCCCTCCAGTGCTTGCTCTGCGTCATTTGTCTGTGTATGCAAATAGGATTTCACAGGTCCCACGTCTCATTCCTCAGATGAGGACACTGAGGCCCAGAGAGGTTATGTAACTCATCTGTGGTTGCACAGTGGATCCAGTGGTAGAGATAATGTATACCACCCCTTTCGACTCTGAGTCGAGCGCACTTTGAACCACACCGCCTGCCTGTCTCCAAGAGGGAGCTCTAGAGCAAGACAAGGTGCGCACAGGCGTGGGCCCCATGCCGCCCCGGTTCTCAGCTGCTCCTGCCGCTGCCCCCACCTGCAGGGAGCTCCTCAGCCAGACCTGCATCTCTGAGCTGCCAGTGTTCACTTGGGGCTTCCAACAGACCTCCTTCTGAAAACTGAGCTCAAATAGGTCCGATAAACCTTGTCTTTTGCACTTGCAGGATGGACAGTGTATGGCCTGGCAACTCTCCTCATCCTCACAGTCACAGCCATTGTAGCAAAGATACTTCTGCATGTCACGTTCAAGTGAGTATGAGAGAGCCGCCTGGTTCCAGGAGGGGGAGGGTCAGAACTCTTTTTCTGCTCTACTTCATTTGTCTGGGTACAATTGTAATATCAGAACGCGATTCCAAAGCCCTTAGTCCTGCAACATGAGCCAGGAGACATTCCTCATTCTCTGTAGAGTGAAATGTACAACTGGACAAATCTCAGTAAGGTTTGAGGGCTTGTGTTTGCTCCATGTCCAGAGGATACAATTTCAAGGAGGATTGAAACAGTCTGGGCATAAAAGGCAACAATTTCCATTATTTAGCTTGTGTTGGCCCCTTAAAGAGATCTTTATGCAAGAGCAAAGATTCCTAGGATAATACCATTGCCTATTTCTTGATGCCTTCTAGAAATTGGGAAACATTCTTAAGAAGAGAATTCTAACACTTTGTTAACAGTTGCTTAATAGTTATTTTAAGACAATTATTTAAGAAGCTTATATGGGCCGGCCCCGTGGCTTGGTGGTTAAGTGAGCGCGCTCCACTGCTGGCGACCCGGGTTCGGATCCCGGGCTCGCACCGACGCGCTGCTTCTCTGGCCATGCTGAGGCCGCGTCCCACATGCAGCAGCTAGAGGGATGTGCAGCTATGACACACAACTATCTACTGGGGCTTTGGGGGGGGAAAAATAAATAAATAAAATCTTTAAAAAAAAAAAAAAAGAAGCTTATAGAAGTTTCATCCTTCAATTCTAAGCAATTTGGAAAAAAATATTTCCTTCCTTTATTTGGCTGCTCAGGTTTAACAGTTCCACCTTCCAGGAAAGGGCAGTTGTTCATGCTGCTGATGTCTGTGTACTTACAGAGGGGAGTTCTATTTAATTTTTTCTAGATCCTTAGTGTCTTTCCTGTGGTTCCCAGTCCAGGCTCGCTCCATTTCTTTTTTTCCCCCTAGTTTTATTGAGATATAATTGGCATACAGGCTTTCTCCATTTCAAGGCCTTCCTGAACATTGGTGTCCAGTGAAAGCCACCTTTTTCCTGTACTTCTCACTTGCCGTCTGCCATAGACTTTTTTATGCATTAAATGCCGGCTCCTCCATTGCCCTGTGAAGGCTGCTCTTGGCCATGTTGGGACCAACCATAGGCCTCTCCACCTTGCACTTTACATTTTTCAGTGGAAACAATGTCCTTGTTATTGTTTACTGAGCCCACTTACATGCCTTCTATATATATATATATATATATATTTTTTTTTTTTTTTTTTAAGTCACAATTCACATGTTTCTGGGGAAGCCTCTCAGGGACAGTCCTGTCTGTGTGTCCCCTACAGCAGCAGGAGAGCAGGAGGCTTTCTGTAGGGCCTAGCACCTCACAGCACACTGAGGCCCTAAAGTATATGTCTGACTCCCATCTGACGTTGGAGTCTCTGCAACTTCCCTGCCAGGCAGCCGCAGGGGCTGCCCCGGGACAGGGACAGGCGTTGGCAGTCAGGCAGGACTCATTTCAAGCAGAGCGGTTTTGTCTTTATCCTGTTTTAGCTAGGTGGGCTTCCAGATAAATGACATTTGAAGAAATTTCTATTTTAAAAAAAACAAGAATTTGAAAATTCATAGTCTCTTGGGCTAGCCCTTTCCAGATTTGAATAATTCTGCCAGTTAGAAAGTTCTTTGTTATACTGAGCTGGAATTTGTCCCACTGCACTCCCGTCCCACAGGACACATTCCATCCGCACAATAGTCTTTCAGATCTCTAAAGGCACCTGTTAGGTCTTTCCCGAGGCCTCACCTCACTGAATGTCCTATTTCATAGATACAGGTATCTCGTGAGATGCTAGCTCGTTTTGGAAGCTTTGTTCTACGTGAAAGATTAAGTTATTTTTGTTTGACAGATCCCATCGCGTTCCTGCTTCAGGGGACCTTAGGGATTGTCGTCAACCTGGGACATCGGGGGAAATCTGGAGCATTTTTTATGAGCCTTCTACTTCGATTTCCATCTTTAAGAAGAAGCTCAAGGGTCAGAGTCAACAAGATGACTGTAGTCCTCTTGTGAGTGACTAAAACCTCCCCCCGTGGCCAGGACACGAGGTCCCTCAGAGCTCAAGGCCGCTGGGGACCACCTCTCATGTGGTTTCCTCTGACCAACTCTCCCCTGCCTCTCCCTCGACCTCTTCAGGGGCGCCCTCCTATGGACTGGGAAGGGGCGCTCTGCTGCAGGGACAGGCACAGCCTGGATTCGTCCTGCTTTATTGGCTGCACTTAGGAGAGAGACTCAGGGTCCCAGGGTCCAGGCCCTCCTGTGTCTCTCTCTCTGATTTAGGAATGGGGGTGTCAGGACGGTGGGGCTGAGACAACAGAGATGGTTGTGTCTGAAACTGGGTTCAGGTACATTCTAGATGACATCAGGTGGTGGGTAGGTATAGTATACGTTGAGTCTTGCTTGCTTCTCCTCCATTTTGTCCACACAGAGATCACTTTCTTCTGGTCTTCATGGCTTGGAACAGGGCCAGACAGAACTCTGAGGTTCACTTGAGAGTTGGCCTGGTTCTGTACTCCTGGGCATTAGCACCCCCAAAGCCCTAAAGAGGGCCTATTCTCTATGCTGACACTGAGGCTTCGCTCTCTGGGTGCTAGATGAGGATGGGCCTCCTCCAACCTGGGAAGGCCTGAGAATTGGGTCTGGTGACCCCCATTCATGTCAAACCTGACACCTTCCACATACAGGCTTCTTTCCATAGCACGATGACCAGCAGAGCAAGCTTGAGGAGTGATTGTATAAAACATCCATTCATTTATTCACGCAACAGACTTCACTAAAAACTCTTATAGGTGCTCAGTAACTCCTTGTTGGATTAGATGTGTCTGGCCTTGCCCCCGAGCAGCTCGTGGTCCTGTGGAGGCTGAGCCAGGCCCGTCTGTCCGTCATTCTCTAAGTTGACTCTCAGTTCAGAACAAGGAGTATAAATATTGTGGTTTAGCATTCAGGCAGCATTATGTGAGCCAGCAGTCCCGCCTTAGGTGTCCTTCATTTTAAAAGAAGATGAAAAACACCCCACGGCCTGTGCCCTCTGCAGCCCTCTCTGCCCTTCTTATGGGGACAGAATGGGGTTTGGAATGGCTCAGTGGGGAAGGAGGGGGCTCTTGTCCCTGGGCCCACACCACCCTGTGCCTCAGACGGAGGTGAATTGCAGAGATGGCATGAGGAGTGAGAGGGAGAGTTTGGGAACTGGAGACCCTCTGAGGATGGGCCTCCTAAGACTGCGAGCTGCAACTGCAGTGGCCACCGGTTGTGAGCCAGTGCCATCTCCAATTTAGAAGTCCCCACCATCCAAATGCAGGCTTTGTTAACAGCAGCTGAGAAAGCAGCCTGTGCCTCTGAAGGCCGGGCCTAAGCCTTTGTCAGAACATGACTCTCCCAAAGGCACTCAGGCCTTGGGCCTTGTTGTGCCTCTGGACTAACAGGTTTCCTCTTAGAGCACTTTGCCTACCTCCCCAGTCCCTAAGTCACTGCCTGCTGCCGCTCTTCCTGGGTTCTGCCACACTGGCAACCTGTCTGCGCCTGGCCACTCCCAGAAAGATGGAGGGCCATGTGGGGCCAGCTGGGAGGTGTCTGCAGGGAGAAGTGACACTCAGCAACCAGGAGAGATGCTAGGAGCTGGCAGGCAGAGGGGCATTCAGAGGAGGGGAATGGGGCAAGGGTGCTGCCCCAGGCGCTGTGTGAGGCCTGCGGCAGACATGGAACTGCTCAGTGCTATCTTCATGCTTTGATCTGGAAGGGGTGATTACCCTCGAGCAGCTGTCTGCAGGCCCCTGGGTCTGGAGACAGAAGCCTGTCCCATACAAAGACCACTGGAAATACACTGACATGTGCAGTCTCCCCTCCAAGCTATTCTTGGCTTTTGTGGAATCTCCTCTCAAATACAAGTGTCAGGTGTGTGCAGTCACAAAGGGCCCTATGCTCTGAATAGATCCTTTCACAGCACACAGGGAATGTGGAATTCAGCAAAGAGTTCGCCCAGCCGAGGGGCAGTTGTTCGGCTGCCTAGGGCTTACTCTGATTGCTGCCCTTTGGGGCAGCCCATGGGCCCACCCACCCATCCTGCCCACCTCACACCTCGGGTCATGGAGAACAAGCCCCAAGCCAGTGTGTTGTCTGAGCCTGTCACTGGAGCAGCCCTTTCTCAGAGATCCTAGAAGTGCTGGTCATGCCCCAGTGCTCTCCTTCCGGCTGGCCCTGGCACAGCCCAGTGCCACCAGGATCAACTTACTGTCCAGGGAGCAGCGGTGGGAAACCCAAACCAGCTCAGGACAGTGTGGGGGGAGATGGCCATAAATTGTCCTTTTCCATAAAAGCCTTGGCCACATTTTGGCCACGGCCTTGGTTGGAACCTGTCAGCAACACGGCACAGAGGGTCCCCTGTGGCTAAATAAATTGTCCCAGAAGAGGCGAGGTGTGCTTCTAGGAGCACTGAAGGAGGAAGCACTTGATCTTTTAACAAACCACTTTAGAAGAGAGAAAGTGGGGGTTGGAAGTTATTGGAAAGGGTGATCCTGAGAAAAGAACCTTACAGATCACAAAGCAGAAAATTATGAAAGAGGAAGGGGAGGGGCTTTGGGGACCACCATAGATGTTGGCTCTGAAAGCATCCTGCCCAAAGCATCTGCCCTGAGGTGACAGAGCAGAGGAGGCTGCAAGCAGGCACCTCAGGGCCTTTGTGCCCTCCTCATCCCTTCACTCTGGTTCCTAGGCCCCGCCTTCTCCGTGTGTGTCCCAGTGGGAGGGAGGGCCCTCAGGCAGCTGATCTTGTTGCCTCCCGTGGTGAATGTGCTTCAGCCAGCTGTGAACTGGTCTCTTAGCCATGTTTCACAGTGTCCTTGTCCCCTCTAGAAGGCACGTGGTGCCCTGTGTTCTTCCTCGAGTGTCCAGTTGCTTGCAGAGCAGAGAAAGAGGAGGAATGAGCCCCAGGTACCTTCCCCCACTTCCCCATGTCAGAACAGGGTTGAGGCCTCTCTCTGAGTGTAAGCGAGGTAACCCGCTTGTTGTAACTTCTGAAGTGTGGGCTCTGGCTCAAGACTCCCATTGGCCAGAAACCCACCAAGATCAAAGCACTAGCAAATACAGCTGTCCTGGCCCTCAGGCCAAACCCATGAGGTGTGTCTGGGCACAGCCCCACCCACACGCCCCATTGTCAGCCTTGGGCCCCATTGTCAGCCCAAGGTGGGAGTCTGACCTAGCTCAGGATCCGGCCAGGCTGTCCTGACACCAGCGGGGTATGCAGGCTGTCACCAAGCCCCCGTGTGTCCTGGGCACTTAATCTTCATGAGCACTTATAAGTGGACAGCCTCCGAGATCCCGTCTCCTTGCCTAGTGAGGCCACCCCAGGTCTCCCACTGAGCTGGGCCAGCTTCCCTCTCCAGAGCCCAGTCAACTGGCACCTCTTGGGTTTCGAAACTCCTGCTTGGTGTTTGATGTCGGCTTTTGTTACTACCTTGGGAATTTTTAACCTTTTGATTGTTTCCTCTGGTGTCTTTGTTTACCTTCCTCACTATTCTACCTCCTGGCCAGGTCTCTCAGCTTAGCTGCCCTGGCGTGGGGTGTTTTTCAAACCTTCCAGCCACAGCTGCCTCCTCTCGGGCTGGCTGGCTCAGGGGTGACAGGGCCTCGCCCTCTGCCTGCAGACCCCGGAGGGCCCATCTCACAGGCTTCTGTCTTGCCGAGTAGAACATACTCAGTGAGGCAGAAGTGGAGTGTGGAGGAAAGTCTGAGGTAAATCTACTGCTTCAGAAAGGATGTGTCTTCAGGAGCACATGGCAGGGGGCTGCCGTCGTCGCGGGGTTCACGCAGCATCAAGACCTGCCCACATCCAGACTCACCTTCCTGCGGGGATCTTGACTTTGGATGACAAGGCTTTATTTGTAAATATGCTTTTAATATGCAACTTTGAGAATAAAATAGAAACATCATGTATTTTAAAATATAAGATGAAGTGTGACGCACTGTATACAATTTAATATATATTTTTAGGATTTTGTTATTTAAGAAAATGGAATGTAATGGTACTTAACTTTTACAAAAGAGAGAAAAATGTTATTTTTACCGTCTGGAGAAAATAAATATTCTCATTGTTGTAGAAATAGCGATGGGCCCTAGCTTGTCGTTTTTACAGCAGTGCTCCCAGCGCCCCGTGACGAAGGTGTCGCGTGCTGGGAGACTGTGCACGCTTCTTAATTCTGTGCAAATGCCAGGCCTCGCCGTTTGCTCAGATTTTCCTGTTCGTGTCTCCAGATTTCCTCAGGTCTTGTCATGGCTTTGACCCACAGTTGATCTTCAGCCAGTAAGATCTGGAGGAGCTGGAATTCCAGATCAACCCACCACAGGGGAGAGACAGGGGTGGGTCATGGGGAAGCACACAGGGCTTTGCGCTCAGAAAGACCTAGGAGGGAGGGGAGGATTTAAGTAAGAGCAAGCTGGCCACACCCATAGTCCTGGGGCACGTGCTTGAAGGCCTGGGCTCACACCCCAGCCCCACCATTTACCACATGACCTTGGACGAATGACCCAGCTCTGTGTGCCTACTTTCTCATCTGTCAGATGGGGTGATTACAGTACCTGCCTCATAGAGTTGTGATGAATTATTACCTGTGGTATGTTTTCAATAAATGGTAGCTGTTCCTTGTTATTCTAGAATAGAGGTGAGGGGTTAAGAACAAAGAAGTGTCTAGGATAATGGCCAAGTATTCTGACTTGAGTGTTGAGGGGACAGTGGGGCCATTCTTTGAGATCAAGAACATAAATGGTGCCAGGTGTGAGAGAAGACATGCTGAGTTCTGTTTGAGCCAAGTCAAATGAGTTCCCCATGGGACACTGAGTAGGCAGCCTGAGACACACAGAGGGTCAGGCCTGGGGAGCACAGTCCATGGACATGTGGGCATGGACGACATCCTGGGGTGAGTCTGGGGCCACCCCAGAAGGCTGCTAAGGACAGTGTCTCAGGACACACTTAGGTGGATGAGGAGGATCCTGGGCAGGACCGGAGTGGCGGCTGGGGGGGTCAGGAGAGGAGCCAGCCCCAGAAGCCAAAGAACCTACAAGCCAAGTTTCTAACCTGGCTGGTTCAGGCACACACACGCTGCTGGTTCTGTGAGCCCCAATTCCAAATTCTCAGGAGGCGATTTGCCAGGTGAGGTGTCTCTGCTCTAGCCAGTTATGGCGAGGAGAAAAGGGAGCACAGACCAGTCCGACAAAAGGACATTACCACCGCTTTAGACACAGACATGTTTCTCAGAGTGGTGCCTGGATCACTTGCCTTGGAATTCCTGGTCTCCTTGTTCAAAATGCAGTTTCCTGGGCCCCACCCCAGACCTGCCAAATCAGAATCCCTGGGAAGCTTCCTGAGTGATGCTGATGCTCACTGACAACCATTTTAATTTGTTTGAGAAGTTTGGTTGGTAGTCACCTCTCTTCTGAAACAAATTGTCCACACATAGACAGTTGTAAAGGAAGGCTGCTTCCTTCAGTGTCAGCAGTGTATGTATTCAACTGCAAAGACTATATCACTCCAGGGATTCATCCCAGGACAGAAAGAGGTGGGGGGAGAAAGGTGTGCAGCACAGAAGTTATCCCAGATACTTCTCCAGAAGGCACGTTACCTTGACATGGGGTTTGAGCCCCTTTCTTTCCCACTGTCCTCTCCCTTGCTAACTTCGGCCTGCACCCACAGCAGCCAGCCCAAACACTGCTGTGGCTGTTGCAATATGATGGCACCTTCAAGGCCAGCTTCGCTTGAGTGTTTATCTTCTCTGAGCTTTCCTTCTCTGAAGGAAAATATTTTTAATGGCCAGTGGAAAACAAATGGGATGGCCTCGCTGGTGAATTTCTTAGAGACAGATTAGCCTGCAACAGAAAAATAAATAAATGCAGCTAGAATGTGCAACTGTCCTGCCTAAGGCAGGACCAAGAAGAGCCCCCCAAACCCATCTGAGTGGCCTTTGGGGACCGCTGACTTTGACCTCATCTCTTTGTTCTCCCAAACCTGAGAGATGGGACATTGAAAAACCCGCCCACCTGGGAGCCAGCACCAGCGCGGCATCAGCCTCATCCTTTGTCAGGCAATGGAAAGCCCTTCTTCCTGTGGAGACAAAAAGGGCTGGACAAGAGCGACCTTGTCTCCAAGCTCGGAAGTCACATGATCATCTCCTCTCCTCACTGGGCTGTGTGCGCCTGAAACTGCAGACAGTCTCTGGGACTCAGAGAACTGGGAAGCTTTTGTTCCTCTGTGGCGGGGTCAGGTCCCCATGGGGGATTGTTTTTGCTTGGCTGAAAGGGACGCTTTGGGGATAGAATATTTCAACCTCAAGAAGCAGCAACATTTGCTTGTAGCTGGAAGTCTTCATTTCTGGTCTCCAGCTGTTGTCTGGAGCCACCAGGCCCCTGCTGAATGGGACTACACCCAGCAACTGGGGGCAGGCAGCACCAGGCTGGGCTGGCTGTGGACCAGCCTGTGTCCAGGAGGCCTGTCTCCAGGACATCCCAGCGGCAGTGACACCCTCGGCCCTGCCGGTGGTAGTCACTGGGCTCTGGAATGAACCTGCTAGCTGTGGCTGACTGGCTGGGGAACTGGGCTCCACAGAGAGGCATTTTAGGGGGAAAGTAGATCCAAGCTTGAGGTCCAGAGTGACTCCTCAGGGGAAAAACAGAAAGGTCTGAAACAGCCAAGCCTTTTTGCAACAGAGAAGTTTCAGATTTCACTTATTTCACTCTTAGGAACATTTACCATTGTTCCTGCTCAAATAAAGCCACTGCTCATGTGAATGTGTTTAATGAACTTGCCTTCGTTACTAGTACCAAAGATAAAAGTGGATCGGGAGCATTCAAGGGGTAGTCAAACCTCATATTGAGCCAAATATCGAGCAGCTTTTTATGGGTCTGGGGTGAGCTGAGGAAAGCTTCTGAAGGTGCAAGGATAATAATAAAATAGCTACCATTTCTGCAGTACCTATGTGTGCCAGACTGTGCCAAGCACTTGACAGACATTATTGAATCCATCCTGCGACAACCCAGCCTGGGAACCAAGGCTTGGGGACGGGGCCCAGCCAGTGGAGGGCAGGGCCAGGATTCAGCCCATGTCTGCTGGCTCCAAAGCCAGGGCTCCTGCTCCTGCTGCACTGCAGGCCTCTCCCACCTGGGCAGGGGAGTGGGCTCTGAGGGGCGCCCTTTGGCCCCCGAATATCTCACCATCACAGGCGATGTCTCCAGACAGCCCAGGGAAAGACCAATTCAACTTGCCTGGGGCAGGGAAGGCTCAACCTACACTTCTTGACCTCTTTGAAAACACAGACCCCTCTGAGAATCAGATGAATGTTATCAAGCCCCTCCCCTCAAAAACCTCACCTGCAAAACTGCGTAGGAATTCTGGAGATTCAGAGATCCCTTGAAACCCTCCCATGGACCTCACGTTTGGAATCTCTCCATTAAGCCATAGGCAAGGTTACCTGAAAGTTAAAATTAAGCTGAAAAAGGACAGCAACAAGAGTAATAATAATAATAGTAACCATGGATACACTTTCCTGATCACTTATTAAGTGTCAAGCAACTTTTTCTGCAAAGGGTTAAATAGTAACTATTTTAGGCTTTTCAGGCCACATGGTCTCAGGTCTCTGTCACAACTACTCAACTCTGTCCACACTGGTTGGAGGAGGCATCTGCTTGCCAGAAACACGGCCCATCCACTGGGACCCTCAAGGACCCCATCACTGCACATTCTGGAGCCACCCGGGCGATCTGGGGGAGGAGACTGATGAGGGTGGGGGGGCACCGAGGCCCATGCACACGCAGCCACAGACAACATGTAAACAAATGGCAGCTTGTATTCCAATAAAACTCAACTTATGGACAGTGAAACTTGAATTTTATATAACATTCACATGTCACCAAATATTACTCTTCTCTTAATTTTTTCCCCAACAATTAAAAAGTGTAAAAGCCATTCTCAGCTCATGGGCCATAAAAAAACAGGCGGCAAGCCCACAGGCCGTTGTTTGCCACCCCCTGCACTTTGCCAACGACTTTGACACATCTTATTTAACGCTCACAACAACTGTGTGGATTAGGCATTGTTATTATCAGATTATTGTCAGATGAGGACACTGAGGCCCAGAGAGGTTAAATAACTCATTTACGAAGCTCCGGAGTGAGGACTTGAGCCCACCCCCAAGCCTGTTGGCTTTCCTGAGAGACAAGATGGGCGAGTTTAAATTGTGGAGAAAGGGAAGGAAAAGGTGCTGGAGGAGCAGAAAGGGGGCCCCTAAGGTGCGGCAACGCTCGGCGGGGGGAGTGTAAGGGAGGCCGAGAGAGGCTCCTTCCTCCCCTGTCTCTGCTTGAATGGTCTGCACTGCAGGGGAGGGCGACTGGCTTCCTGAGCTGTTCCTCCAGGGACGGAGGCCCCAGATCCAGGACAGCTGGTGGCCTTCACATTGTTTTGCGTCTCCCAGGTTCTCTTAATTATAACCAATTTGCCACCCTCAGCAATTCCTTGTTCTCCTTTGCTAATACCCATGAGTTGGAACTACCCGCCAGACTCCCAGCCAAATGCTCAGCTAAAATCACTTCCCTTTCCCATGTAGGGAGCCCCAGTCTCCTAGAAACTTGCCTTTATTCTCAGTCCTGAGAGGCGGGCAAGGCCGGTCCTTTTGCAAGCTGCCTTGCTTGGCTGGGATTTGCCATCCAGATCTCTTAGCAAAAGGGGAGACGGAATCTGCTTAACTTTCTCAGACTCCTCGCCTTCCCGGCTGACCGTCGGGCTCAAGGAGACTGACTGCAACAGGCAACCTTTCTTCTGTGATGCTCTTTACCATGTCTCCATTCCCACCTTAGTTATTTGCAACTTGGGCCCAAGGCTCTGAAACTCTCTACTCCAGAAACACACTCTGGGCCATACCTGTGTATGATTTGGGGTAACAGAGGCTGGA